TAAACATGTCCCCCACAAATCAAACCCTAGCCCTACCCCTCCCCAGTGCCCCCCAACCCCTAGTGTTATGCGGAATCCTGTGCTGGGACTGCGCAATCCAAACCAGAAGTGGAAAATTGCTGAGTCATCCTTAGCTAGACTACAAATCCTACCTCAGAACCCTCCCCGTTACTGCCTCCACAAAAGCGTGGCTATATGTAAACGAACAAGTGCTGCCAAACGGGTTCGCAACTTCTCTCCCAAGAGCAGACAGTTTTCGGGCCACTACTCTCGTTTTCGAGTATTTCTTTTGCCAGTGTCCAGTAACTTCCCATCGCGACCACTCTGGGCAGTCCGACGAGGCAGCCATATCCCTAAAAACACTGAACCTATCCCGAGCCTGAGTAACATCGCTGACCACAAACCTAAAAAGTAACTATCCCACGTAGGTGAACCCTAAAATCCTGTCCCTAATATCACCTTCCCTCTAAAACCTTAACGATACACACACCTCTCCATTACCCCTTGTTTCGAACCCCAAAATCCAAAGAGTATCCCATGCCTGGAACCCTAAGAATGTCCACCACAAATGAAACACTCGCACTATTCCATTCATATGCCTCTCGACCCCAAACATAAAGCAAACCCCTGTGCCGGGTCTGAGGGACCCAACCCAGAAGTGGAAAATTGCTGAGTCATCCTTAGCTAGGCTGGCCTTACAAACCTCAGTGCCCTCCCCGTTTCTCCCTCCACAAAATCATGGCTATATGTAAACGAACGAGTGCTGCCAAACTGGTTCACAATGCCTCTCCCAAGAGGGGACAGTTTTGGGACACCTACTCCCGCTTTCGAGTATTTCTATTGCCCGTCTCCCGTAACTTGCCATCGCGCCACCCCAGGAGGTCCGTCGAGGCAGCCATGTCCCTGACAACACTGCACCTCTCCCAAACCTGATAAACGTCCCTGATCCCAACCCTAAAATATAACTATCCTACCTCAGCAAACCCTAAAAACTTATCTCTGTCATTTCCTACCCTCTAAAACATTAACGCTACACAAAACTCTCCCTTACACACTGATTCGAACTCAAAACTTCCTAATAGTATCTCCTCCCTGGAACGCTAAGGATGTACCCCACAATCCATTCAGTCGCCCTACCCCTCCTTTATGCCCACCAAACCCAAACATAAACAGTCACCCTGTGCCGGGGCTGAGAGACCCAAACCGGAAGTGGAAAATTGTGGAGTCACCCTAATCTAGACTGCCCAACCCACCTCAGTGCCACCCCGTTATTGCCGCTGCAAAAGCAAGGCTATATGTAAATGAACAAGTGCTGCCAGATGGGTTCAAAACGTCTCTCCCAACAGCGGACAGTTTTGGAGCCTGTACTCCCCCTTTCTAGTATTTCCTTTTCCGATAACCATTAACATCCTGTCGCGCCCACTCCGCGCGGTCCGACGAGGCAGGTATGTCCCTAAAAAACACTGAAACTGTCCTGAAACCGAACAACGTCCCTGACAACAAACCGAAAAAGTAACTATCCCACATCAGCAAACCTTAAAAATCTGTCCCTAACATCCCTTTCCCTCTAAAACATTAACGCTACACAAACCTTTCCCTTACACCTTGTTTTCAACCCAAAAATACAGAGAGTATCTCCTGCCCGGAACCCTGAGTATGTCCCCCACAAATCAAACACTCGCCCTACCAGACCCCTATGCTCCCCGACACCAAACATAAAGCATAACACTGCCGGGCTGAGTGACCCAACCCGGAAGTGGAAAATTGCTGAGTAATCCTTAGGGAGGCTGGCAAAATGCACCTCAGCGTCCTCCCCATTTCTGCCTCCAAAAAAGCATCGCTATATGTCAACAAACGAGTGCTGCCAGAATGGCTCACAACGTGTCTCCCAAGAGGGGAGAGTTTTGGGGCAACTGCTACCACTTTCGAGTATTTCTATTGCCATTCTCCCATAACTTGCCATCGCGCCCAACCCAGGCGGTCTGCTGAGGCAGCAATGTCTCTGAAACCATTGAACTTGTCCCGAACACGAACACCCTCTATGACCCTCGCCCTAAAATATAATTATCCCACCACAGTGAACCCTAAAAACCTGTCCCTGTCATTTCCTTCCTTCTAAAACCTTAACGCTACACACACCTTTCCCTTACACCCTGTTTCAAACCCAAAAATTCCTAAGAGTAACGCTCCCCGGAAACATAAGAATATCCACCACAATCCAAACAATCGCCCAATCCCTCCCCTATGCCCCGTAACCGCAAACATAAATCGTAACCCTGTGCTGGGCTGAGGGACCCAACACGGAAGTGGAAAATTGCAGAGTCATCCTTAGCTAGGCTGGCACAACACAGCTTAGCTCCCTCCCTGTTACGGCCCCCGCAAAGTGAGGCTCCATGTAAACGATCGAGTGCTGCCAGACGGGTTCAAAACGTCTCTCCCAACAGTGGACAGTTTTAGAGCCCGTAAACCCGCTTTCTAGCATTTCCTTTTCTGGTAACCAGTAACGTTTGTTGTGCCCACTGAGGGCGGTCCGATGAGGCAGCCATGTCCCTAAAAACATTGAAACTGTCCCAAAACCGAACAACGTCCATGACAACAAACCGAAAACGTAACTATCCCATCTCAGCAAACCTTAAAAACCTGTCACTAACATCCCCTTCTTTCTAAAACCTAAATGCTGCACACACCTCTCCCTTGCACCCTGTTTCGAACCCAAAAATTCTTAATAGTATCCCATCCCTCAACCATAAGGATGTCCCCTACAATCCAAACCCTTGGCGTAACCCTCCCCGATGCCCCCCAAACCGAAACATAAAGCGGAACCCTGTCCCGGGGCTGAGCGACCAACCCGGAAGTGGAAAATTGCTGAGTCATCCTTAGCTAGACTGCCCACTCCACCTCAGCGCCCTCCAAGTTACTGCACCCACAAAAGCGAGGCTACATGTAAATGAACGAGTGCTGCCAGACTGGTTCACAACATCTCTCCCAGCAGGGGACAGTTTTGGGGACCCCTCCTCCGGTTTTCTAATATTTCTTTTGCCGGGGTTCAGTAAGTTCCCGACGTGACCACTACAGGCGGTCTGGCGAGGGAGCCGTATCCCTAAAAACCTTGACTTGTCCCAAACCTGAATAAAATCACTGACCACAAACCTAAAAAGTAACTATCCTACGTAGGTGAACCCTAAAAAACTGTTCTTAATATCACCTCCCTTCTAAAACATTAACGACACACACCTCTCCATTACCCCCTGTTTTGAACCCAAAAATCCAGAGAGTATCCCCTGCCCGGAACCCTGAGCATGTCCCCCACAAATCATACACTCGTCCTACCCCACCCTTATGCTCCCCACACTAAATATAAAGCATAACCCTGTGCCGGGGCTGAGGGACCCAACCCGGAAGTGGGAAATTGCTGAGTCATCCTTAGCTAATCTGGCCCAACACACTCAGCGCCCTCCCCATTTCTGCCTCCAGGAAATCATGGCTATATGTAAACAAACGAGTGCTGCCAGACTGGTTCACAACGTGTCTCCCAAGAGGGGAGAGTTTTGGGGCAACTGCTACTGTTTTTTTTTTTAATTTATTTATTGTTAGTTTCAGGTGTACAGAACAATGCAATAGTTACCCTTTTCACCCTCACAAAGTAACAACCCCCCACCCCCCATCCACTGCCCTCCCACCCCCATATCATGCTTATCTATTACAATTCCATTGAATCCGTTCCCGCACTCTACTCCGTGTCCCGAGGTTATATGTATATATAATTATAGTTGACATACAGTGTTATTCAACATCAGTTTCAGAAATACAATGCGTTGGTAAGGCCTCCACATCAACTATGAAGTGGACTCCCCAAAAGGGCATTGGTCCATCTGGCTCCCTAAGAAATGCTTACAACGTTATTGATTGTATTCCTTGGACTATCTTTTTCTATCCCTGAGGCCATATTACAATTACCAATTTGTATTGTCTCATCCCTTCCCCTCTCCTTCATCCCCACCCCCTCCCAACTAACAACCCTCAGTTCTTCCTCTGTGTCTCTGAGACTATCTCCATCCACTTCTCCCATCCATTCAGTTCCTTCAACTGCTACTGTTTTGAGAATTTCTATTTCCATTCTCCCATAACTTGCCATCATGCCCAACCCAGGGGGTTCACCGAGGCAGCAATATCTCTGAAAACATTGAACTTGTTCTGAACACGAACAGCCTCTATGACCCCCACCCTAAAATATAATTATCCCACATCAGCAAACCCTAAAAACCGGTCCCTATCATTTCCTTCCCTCTAAAACCTTAACGCTACACACACCTATCCCATACACCCTGTTTCAAACCCAAACATTTCTAAGAATATTCCCTGCCCAGAAACATAAGAAATTCCACCACAATCCACACACTTGCCCAACCCCTCCCTTAACCTTTTAACCCCAAATATAAAGCAGTCACGGTGGTGACTAAGGGCATGCAGCCAGGGTCCCAACAGTGCGATTGTGCTCGTAGCCTCGCCCAGATTTCCACCTTGGGGCGACAAGTTGTAGCACCAGGTACTGTGTGTGCGTGCGTCATGTGCCTCTGCACTTTTCCCATAGTGGTCCTCTTTTCTGGAGTCAGAAGACTCACACGACTCACAGGGGTGTTGGTGTGTTTCTCCACAGTTGAGTCTGCTGTTTTGTTCTGGCTCTAGTCCCATGTGTGACGGCAGTCCTGGGTAGGATGGAGGACTACTGTGCATTGGGGGAGACTTCAAACGAGGGGTACACCAGCGAAGACAGGGACCTTCGTTAAGGTGGGTCATGTGAGCCATCCCTTGCTCCGGGGTCGAGCGACAGACAGAGTGGGTGACTCAGTGCTCACTTCCAGGGAGACAGACGGTTTACCCTGCGTCCTTGGTCTGCAGTGCCAAGGACGTGCATTGCCCTGAGTGGAGAAAGCCACCGTGAGCTGGTGGAGCGAAGGTGGAGACATGCGTAGTGAGAAAGCCCTGGGCCTAGGCATTGCGGGTTGATGTGGTTGCCGCAAATGGCTGGGAGCTGCTTGCTTGAGGGCAGGAGCAGGGCGAAGGCTGAAGGCGCACCAGCCAGCGGGCCTCGATATGTGGTCGGGGTTGTGAGACTGTAGGGCAGGGCGGCAATTTTGCCGATAGCCTGGAAACCAACAGCAGAATGAGAGGCCGCAGAGGGGCAACAGGCAGGAGGTATTGAAATGGAGCCCAGGGTGCGATGGCGGCAACAGTAGGGGAAGGCAAAAACCTGTAGGACATGGTATTCCAAGCGGTCTCTCATGCAAATACTAACCAGACCCGATCATGCTTATGTTCCGGGATCAGTCGACATCATCTAATTCAGGGTGGTATTCCCATAGGAACAGGGACTTGGTGTTGTTTGCCCGAGGGGACTCGGTCCGGCTGGCCTGTTAAGTGTGCGTCACACTGCTGGGTGCTCTAACTTAGCCTGTGTGAGAGAGAGCACTCTCCGCTAACCTCATCAGCCCATGCTGCACTTTTCGCCCTTTCCCCAAACACTCATCCGGAAAATGCTGGCGTGAGCTTGGCCAGTCCAGTATTGCAGTGAGCCTTCTTCATTCGCCATGTCAGGGGCAGCGTGGGCCACTAATTCTCCCCTGGCAATCCCAAATTACTGGTAGCGCTGGCCTGCAGGAACTCTCCATGCCCTGGATTGCTTGCCTCCACACACAAGTCTGGCTACTCTGCAGTTCCTTGTTCAGGGCAACTGAGGCTTCGGTGATCTCAGACCCCTGGGATTCCAGGCATGGGCACATCGGCCCTGGTCCCGGGACCTGCACCAACAGGTGCCTGGTCACTTGCTCTGACCCGAACTGCTGGCCAGTTGACAGGCATTGTCACGGTATGCGAAATGCACCACCAGGGTTCATCAGGCCCACACCAATGCCACACTTCTTTACACATTAATCCACTTGTACCATGCTATGAACTGCACCCCTCACACTCACATGATCCTTTCATATACATCACCTTTCCAAACTCATTATGCTGAGTGTGATAAGGAGAGATGGCTAGAGAGAAAGCAAGACAGAGGCAGAGAGAGACAAAATGAATGAGAGAAGGAGAAAGGGAAGCAATTGAAGAGATAGACAGAGAAGGAGTGTGATATGAAGAGAGATGCATGACAGGGAGAAAGTGCGAAAGACATACAGATAAAGACACATACACACCCACGAAAAAACACACTCAGACATGCACACACAACACACTGAAAGAGAGAACAAGAAACATGAAGAGACAGAGAGAGAGAGAGACAGACACAGCACATCCAGAGACAGTGATAATGGAATAGGAAACAAGTCATTGAGAGACACAGAGAGACAGAGAAAGAGAGAAAGAAGGAGCCGGCAGCGTCATAAACTTTCCATTACTCAGTCTGGAAATGACAACCTATCATTTTATTTTCTCTATTCCTTAGAACAGAGTCACAAACAATGCCAATCCTCAAAAGGCGGGGCTCACGCAGAGATGTGTGACATGGAGGCAGGCACACTGGGAGCCATTGAGGGGCCGACCCACACGCAGGCTGAGATAGGCACTTGGCCCCAAGTCTAAGCATAATGGAGTCCCTCGAATGTTCTGTGCCAGAGGGGACTGTGTTGGAAATGGATTTCATTACAGCCCTCTTGAGACAGAGGCAGGAAATCAATCAGCGTCGCTGGCTGCCAGATCAGACGCAGACCGAGGGTCTGTTGTCACTCTGCTCAGCACACACGTCATCGGTCAGGTCTGCACCTGACATCATGTGACCCCAGCCCAGGGTTTCTAGGCACTACAGGTGTTTATAATGTGATGACATTTTGAGATGTAGATGCTAGAATGGCCTGTACTATGCCCATGGGAAAGCTGTGGAGGACCTGATAGCACATGCTGGTCATAGTCACATCACAGGTGAGGAGCAGAAGCCAGCTCTGAACCGAGCTCTGGGTCCTCAAAGCCATGGCCCCCGCTGCACAGAGGTTTTCCTGAAAATGTGGCATGGGCAGTGTTAGTATAACTGGGGGTGGACGTGTTTTGTGGGGTAGGGTGAGCAATCCCCAACCCAGAGGGACTTCTGAGAGTTTCTGTATGAGACAGAAGTTCACAGAGGAGACCCCATGCTGTGATCTCACTTCCTGGTCATAAAGCTTAAAAGAACTTGGAACCCTGGTAACCAGGCAACCACATCATAATGAAG